CCTCTTCTGCTGCCTCCAGGTATTGCGATGTCCACTATCCAGACTTTTTTGTCTTTCTTATCAACCATGGTTAAGTCTGGGGTGTTGTGTGGCAGGGGCTGGTCTGCTGGAATCCTAAAGTCCCAGAGCATTTTGGCTTCTTCATTTTCTATGACTTCGTCTGTTTTGCGGTCCCACCAGTCCTGGCTTGCAGGCAAGTGTTATTTCTTGCATTATTATTACTGCATATTATTATTACTACTACTACTACTACTATTATTGGCTTCCCAGGCAAATTGATTTTCTCCACAAGATAGGACTTTCAGGCCGCAATGGAAGGCCATCATGAGACCAGCTGCTGGACTCCTCCTATAAGCGGGAGGGAATAAGCAAGCCGCAGAAGTGTCTTCCCTGTTTTTTTTGTGACATCCAGCCAGAAGCTGAACTCCTGAACCATCCAACAGACTAAAGCATCTGCTTGCTCCCAAGACCCGGCCATCCTTCTCTAAGCCAGACTTGATCTTAGCCACAAGGCTCTCCTCCAAGCAGATCATATAGGCTTGGTGCCAGGACTGTTAATCAGTGTTTTGCCATCAGAACCCTAACAAACTCTAAAAAAAATAAAATAAATAAAAATGCTGCACGGATGAAGCAAATATTTAACACTGAAAAGCATGACCACGCACGCGCATATACATATGTTGATGTCAAGAATTCAGACAGGCTTTTCTTTCTTTTTTTCCTGAAAGCTAGTAGCCTCCAGGGTAGAAGGAGTGGAAACTCCCTCCAATGCCTATATATAGGATCAAAGTCCTTTCCTAGCACACACGCAGCCAGTCTCCAAGGGATCAAACTGCAGTGAACTTTCTTGATCTGAGATTTCTATGCCAACTTCAATACAAAGCTCTCTGCATTTGAAAAAAGCCATTCCCCCACTGCACGCTTCCAAGATACATGGAAAAACCATTATGAGGATAATCAACTGAAAAATCTATACAATGGCAAAACCAGACGCAGCCCATAAATAAGGATTTTCGCAGGCATTTTTTAAACAGGGGTTATTAAAGTTCAGCCTTGTTAAGGTTCAGACTCCAAAGGCCCACCTGGTTTAAGAACCAGGTAACTGAGGGGAGCTGTATTTTCTCTTGACATCTAGTCTTTGCTGCCTTGACTGCCAGCACCCCAGCAAAGACGCAGACAAGGATGAAAGAATGTCTGGCTTTTCTGAATCAGGTGGAAGGATCTGAACAAGAGCAGATGCGGTCATTAATCATCCGCTCCCCGCCAACAGCATCCATGGAGAAATGCTGGCTGTGGTCAACTGGTCAGGCTGGGCTTCCTTGGAGAGACAGAGACCAGTTCCTGTCCAAACCCTTGGTCACAGGAGCTTTGGGCAACTCAAACCTGCCTTGCGAGGGCAGGCTGAAATAAATCAATCCAAACATACCTCTTCCAAGCTGACTTCATTCTTTTGAAAAAGAACTGCTGGGGTGAAACAGTGGTGGGGACTTTACAAAGGAGGCAACAAATATGTTGCTTATGTGTTGGTTGATTTTATTTGAACCCCACGGTGTGCTGCTTTGTTATACCTTTGGCGGTGGTGGTTTTATTGGCGTTGACTATTTTTATTTCTTTGAGAAATGCCCAGAAAGCTTACACTGAATGTGTTGCACAAATATAAGGCTGGTTAAGATGATCCAGCCTAGTTAGAAATGACGGATGTAAACAGATGCTCGTTGCAGAAGGAATTTAGAGAAAGACCTTTTTTTATCCAAAAGTGGATTTCTTTGACTAGGAAGGATTTGTCAAATATTTATTGAGATTTGTTATTTATGTTAGAATGCTCTGTTTGTCTCTTGGCTGAAGCCAACCATTATTTGTTTATTTATACAAAGCATTTTTAAAAACTGCTCTACAGATGGCAAGACTCCCAGAGCAGCTTATAGTTAAGTTTAAAAAAAAAAAATTTACAGGCTAAGAAGACTCAACACAAGCGGGGAGGGGGGGAGAGATGTAAACGCAGGCCCCAAATGTTGATATTACCAAATTTTTAGAGCTGTTTCCTCCAGCCTGGTGCTCTTCAGATGTGTTGGGAATTCTGGAACTGTGAGGGAATTTGGAGAGTTGCAGGTGTCGGAAAAATCACCTTGCAACCTGATATTCCTAATCTAACACAACACAAACCATGATTTGAGCTGCCAGACCGACTGCAAAAAAGCCAAAGCTGCTTTCCTGCTTTCATTTTCCTCTCGGTTTCATGCTCAGCTACCTCAAATCCACCAGGTGCCCAGAAATGGTTAGAATGCTGGTTTCCAATTTAGGGATCTCCATGCTTCACGCATCACTAAGCCAACATTTAACCATGCTTGATCACACTACATGTGAAGTTATGATTTTGCAAGCCATAACACCTTGCTTCTCACAGCAGGCTATGAAGACAAGTGTATTTTGTCTCAGTGCAACGTGCAAGCCTAACTCAACATCGATTGAACCTTTCCAGGGCTGTCTTTGAATGGAAGTTCTTGCAATGAGGGTTCTAAACACCAAGAGGACGTGAGGATCGTAAAGAGTCTTTGGAGAAGGTCCTGGCTGATTCAAAATCTTAGCTGACATGACCAGCCAGCACCTCAGGCTTCCCTGGTCAGTCTCCAACTGACAGAGACTTGCAGCTGTTCTCCAGAGTTTCAGGCCAGCTTTTTTTAGCCTAACCTGGAAATGTGGAGTCCTTGGGGTTCTCTGAGCTTGGCTAGCCGGGTAATGAAACGTTTGCAAGAAAACAACCAAGC